AAAACAACCTTTGAGACAAAAATGCTACAGCCCGACCACTGACAGCAGACACACACCGGTGTCCATAGCAGGTTTTATGAAAGACCAGAGCTGTTAGAAAGAATTAGAGCGGGTGAATGACACATGCTGAGAGACAGTGTTAACTCCCTGTTGATGCGGGGGAGATGGATGAAGAGACGGAGGTGGAGATGAAGTCTCTCACACCTCCCATGTGGTGGCTGTCTGCAGGTGCTCCTCTGCCAGAACTACAGGTGCAGGACCGAGGACAGCAGAGACGGACCACTTGAAGGAAAATGAATGGAAGAAATTGCTTGTGTTACTTTAGATGTTCAAATACATGAGTTATACACTCATGACACTATGATCTACAACATTATTTTGTGGGCTGGATATAGTAATGCAGCCACTTATTTCATTATTAGGCTCTTAAAGGGGTCCTATATGCTTCTTTACATTTTCAACTTTATTTAGTGTTGCTGTTGAAAAAGGTCTGGAAAGTTACTAAGCACAAAGTAACTCCAAAGGGAGTTATTCTTCATGTCAGTGTGCACCGTTTCTGAACCCCCTGAAACGCCTCCATCACAACACCCTGGTGCAGTCGACCAATTGCAGGACATTGCAGCTTTTTGGAAGGAGGGAGACTAAACAGAGTGTTACTGCCAGATTGGGAAAAGAGGGGCTGCATTACTGTTATAATATATGAAAAATAATGTTGTTTGGCTCCCAGGCCTAGAGAATAGTGTATATTCACAATAATTTTATTTACTGATCTATATGTATTATTATAATTACTTATAATCTATATGTATTAATAATTGTAATATTATAATTACTATTATCATTATCACAGCTATTCTACCACTCTTACTAGCTATTATTATCATGAATGTTGTTGGTTGCCACTGTTACCACTACTATCGCTACTATTCTTATCTATGTTATAGTTATTATTATTAATACGAATACTGCCTCTACTTCTACTACAATTCTATCACAACTACCAGGAATATCTCAATATTGCTTCAATCTAAATCTCTAAAATATCCCATTGCTTAAAACATACCAATATACTTGCATACATGTTTTTGTCTTTGTTTTTCTTTTCCTTTTTTCTCTTTTCTTTTGCTTACTTTTGTTCTGCCTACCTTGTATGTACTCCATGTACGTCTTTCTCTCTTTTGTATGTATACATAATTCACTGATCTCTTATTTTTGTATAATTTATTATGTTTTGTTAACTTGCAATAAAAAAAAAAAAAATAATGTTGTTTGAAAAATCAAGCATGAAAACTTAATCTTTTACAACATCAATTCTTTGAAAAAGGTGTAAAAGGTCCTTTAAATTCAACAATAACAAGTGGAAACGCAGCCCGGGCCTACTACAAGACAAAAGCCTGGGACTAAATTTCTGCTTTGACCCCTTATGAGGCGTGATGCTTCACCAAATAGAACAGCCGAGGAAAAAGCCTCTTACACTCATACACCTAATAAGGAAAAGCTTCAAAAGTCCAATCCTTTAATACATCTCCTCAGACTGCAATACAAACCCCTATAAAGTATTAAAAAAGACTGGCTTTATCAGCGTTAAGCCGCGCGCTCTGTGGATAGCCATCTTCAGGAGAGATTATGACCATTTATGTAAAATCCCTATTTGTGTCCGCCATTGAGTTTGAATGCGGGCTCCCGGGTTGTGCGTTCAGCGAAATGAGACAAGTCCCTACATCACCAGACAGACACTGGCCTCTTTTACGCACATAGCATACCTTTACAAGATTAAACACGTCAGCTGGTCGTCAACCAACGAAGCGCAATTTACAAAAGGACAGCAGGTCCAAAAAAGGTGCATTCACATGAGAAATAGTCACGCATTGGAACAACTCGTTCTCGATTTCAGCCTACGTTTACACACAATTTCACTTAGGCTACACATCAACATTTACAGTAGGTGTGCCGGCCATTTCGCACTCTGATTCAATGCCAACTAGAAATGAGAAAATAACACACAGCACAGTAAACTTACGTCCTAATTGGGTGCAAATGCATCCAAATGCATAAAGCAAAGTGCCAAAGAGGAGGAGGACTGGCACGACTTGACAGATGACTAAATGCACAAGGGCTCTTATTAAAGTTTCACTGATAAAACACAACACTTGTAAGCGATCAAATATTAACCCATTCCCATTTATTTAGCAGCGTTGCTGGTGGCACAATGCATCTCTTCCTGGTAATATGCTTCATCATTGTGATGACTGAATGTTCTGGATTTGAAATGTAATGTTCAAATGAACAAACTGACCCTATTTATACACCCCTAGTGTAATAATGTAATTGTAGATTATTACAAACTAAAATGTTTCTAATCCTCCATCAAAATATAATTTGTTCTGATCCTAAAACTACTTTCCTGTTCTGATGACATCATCAATCCCTCTTACTTTACATATCCATCCCCCCAGACACACCTGCCATCTCACAATCCAATTTAACTCACATTTTTGTCCTCACTTAATGAATATACTTCTGACATTACAGAAGTATATTATTTCTGTACACACTAGTTCATTCTGTTTAGCATTGTAAATGAATGGAGAAACCGTCTAACATTGGAGGAAGCTCGACAAACACCGCAACAAGTTTTTTGCACTCTCTGATGATGAGCAGACCGCAATAAATATGCATGTTTAACTTTTCAGCAGCCTGCCGAAGTGAAAATGTGTCAAGCATGAATAAATCTACAATCGGGGCTGTGATAGGACACTTAAAAATGCATGAGTTCTTTTTTATGTTCCACCGTTTCTCATTTACACAGTGAGAGAGAGCGCACACAAGAGCCTCTTTATAAACTGAATATGATTCAATAGATAACAAAAAACTAATATAAGTGCTATAATTGAGGAAAATATGGAGAAGAACACTGAGGCCCCGTTCCAAAACCTAGTGAGCTGCCTACATAGGCACTATAAGACATCAGGGACTTGTTCAACAGTTCACCTATTGCCAAAATTATGAAAACGACATCAGTCAAGAATAGAAAATGATTGAAAATATTCAAATCAGGAATGTCAGAATCAGAACGTGTAGTTTGTACAATGTAAAATGTCCGTCCGACTCAGAACATAATGTACAAAACATTTTGAATGATGTGCACTAACACTGTAAAGTTTTTCATTTAGAAAATAGTTTTTATTGTCTGCTATAACAAAAAAACTTTTATTTAAACCCATGAAAATGCAGATCCTGTTGTAAATAACAGTGGGGGAAACCCTTAAGTTTTTGACACATATCCAACAACAGCTGGGCGATAATGCATTTTGTGAAGAAATATTCAAGCAGATATTATCAATCAATTGCGAGTTGAGTTTCCTGCACTGCTAGACATTTTATTGTATTTTTGCGGCAACTTACTGGCAGCACTATTGCCAGTAAGTTACTGTAAATTTCATCAAAAATACCCACAATGCAGTGCATATTACAGTAGTTTACCCTAAATAATATAAACAGTATTTTACTGGGGTTTTTTTGCGGTAAGTAACTGTAAAATTACGGCAAAGTCCAACAGTGTGTGCATTTCATGTGAAGAACCCTATTTGTGTGAAGCACAAAGTTGCTGCCCATATAGAGCACTTCAAATAAATCTATTAAAGTTAGTGAACCCCAAGGCAGCTCACTAGTTTTTGAAACAGTGCCTGTTTGTGTCTTTGGCAACTTCAAAGCTTCCATTTTTAGAGCCTTTGCTTAAAAAGCTGAACAAGACACATTTATCCAAGACATCACATTTTAGGTCATCCTAGCTTGTGTTTGTTTTACTGATGGTGTGGTTGGGTTTCATGGGACTTGTTGAGGTCTTATCTGAATTAGATGGATATAGATTGCTCCTAAGAAAGAAAGGACAGCTTTGATCATTTCTTCAGAGACTGGGCTTAATTGTGATGAGGATTGATCTGCACAGAGGAGGTTGACCTTAAGGCTCTGAAGGAGAAGTGGCGGTGGCGGTGACCCTCCTCCACTGACAGGTGGAAAACGGAGGGGGAGGTCAAATCAGAAGAGAAGAACGGGCAAGTTCTCACGTCTCTGCATGATTCAAATCAGTTACAGCCCTTTGGGTATCAAAAGGTATCAGGTACATTGCAAAATGATGATGATGGTCAGCATGAAACCAGTGCTGTCGATATGTCTCAATCATTAGACTGTTCTGGAAGGACCAATCATGTCCAACATGATCAATGCATCCAAAATAAGATTAGATTAAGATGTTTTTCAACGGCTTTAAAGGTCTTGTTTTACAAGAGAAGCACCATTGCAAAAGCCAAAAGTAACTGATCAATTCCAATAAGGAATGCACTAGATAATTATTTTTATGCACTGCAGGTTTGGAAAGACATGAGAGGGTGAGTGATTAATAACAGAATTTTAATTTTTGGTTGAACTAACCCTTATGTCAAAGCATGCCGTTTCTGCCCCTGACTTTGGGAAATCTGTCTTTCTACCTCTGCGGATGTCAAATGCATCACCAGACAGAGCTATGCATTGCTCTGTTCGTGTCATTTTTGATACATCAAATGTCAATTAAACAATTCAATACAAGTGCCTGTCTGATTGCCTAAGGGTTTCATTTGCAAGAGGAAAACACAATTGAATCCTGCTGGCAAATCAATAGCAGGCCAAACGACAATATACATTATGATGAACGTGATGAAGTGCATCAAAACGTTTCACACATAAAGCAATTCATTTACGACCTCTACCCCTAATGCACTAGTTATTGTATTAATAAACAAAATATCCTGGCAAAAACCACGATCTATTTATCATCTTCTGTTATTTGGTGGGTGAGTGTTGTTTTGCACAACAAATGGTCTGCATTGTTAAACACAAGGAGTAACGAATAACACAAACAAACCATCTGACATGTTTTACCGCTCCATATGGTGGTGAAATACGTGCACAAATATGCAGTGCTGTGTACAAACGCGGAGACATGAATTAAACTGCATATTTACCTATACGAGATCTGTTTCCTGAACGCTAGACCTTTGAGTTTATCCTCCAGCGAGTCTTCCATGTCGGCGAAGCTGCCCAGGCTCTCGCTGCCGCTCATCGCCGCGTTTCTCCGGCAGCCTCGTGCCTGATCGTCCGCTGATTCCCCACCGACAGCTCCTCTGCTGCTGCGCTCAGCCTGAGGTGCGCGTCTGTCGGCCAGGGGGTCCATCATGCTCCGGTCGGCACTGAGTGGACCCCCTCTCTCTCCTCCGGTGCTTAAAATTCCTTCCAAATGTGTCCTCCGATGTCCCTCATGGGGTGAATAAAATATATCTATCTATGGGATTAATAAATATCTATCTATCTATCTATCTATCTATCTATCTATCTATCTATCTATCTATCTATCTATCTATCTATCTATCTATCTATCTATCTATCTATCTATCTATCTATCTATCTATCTATCTATCTATCTATCTATCTATCTATCTATCTATCTATCTATCTATCTATCTATCTATCTATCTATCTATCTATCTATCTACTCGATTTGCACAATCCGCGCAACTCTATCCAACGGAACTATACAACAACGTACAACAACAGCTGCATCCATCCTCGAGGACATTCTGGTATTTGCCTCCTCATCCTCCTCGCGCAGCACCATCGGGCATTAAAAGTAGGGCAGAGGGTCTCCGACTGGACACACTCAGGCGCGCGCACGAGTGTACATGCGTGGTGATCTCTGACGTGTCGTGTCCACTATGACGAGACGAGACGACAATCAGAAGCCGTATATACCCTACTGTCTATGCTATGGTATTTACACGAGGGTTTAAACCGGACCAGATTGTGTATACAAACTTCTTTGTTCAGGCAGGAAGTAGGCTACGCGAAAATAAAAAATAAATATAGATCTATTAGATTTATGGCACTTAAAACTACAATTAACCATTATTATTAATATTATTATTATATTGATATGAGCATAATATTAACATTTCCATTAATATTATAATATTCGCCACGCCCACTAACATTTGTTATGAAGGCAAAGCTATTCGAATTTATTAATTAACGTTTTAACAATATATCGGTTAGACCCCAAGTATTTGATTTGATTCCAAAAGCACTGGATGTTAGTGTTATTATATTTTAACACTAAATCATAGTCTATAATTTTGACCACTCCCCCTAACATTTCTTATTACAGAAAAGCTATTAATATAATTTTGTCCTTCTTCTTCTTCATTCTTCTTCTGTCCCTTTTGTTATAATATTGGTCAGGCCCCAAGTATTTGATTTGACAGAAAAAGCACTGAATACCAGTATTATTATAATATCATCACATATAGGCTATGATAATATTTACCACGCCCCCTAACTGAAGCGTATAGGCCTATTATTATTATTACTGTTTTGATCACGCATCTTAGTTGACAGAAAAATACTGTATGATAATATTATTGTAATATTATCATATTATAGCCTAAATCGTTAATATTTTTCAGTGTTTGTCTCGATATGTCTAGTACACAGTATATTTAAGCAAAGGTTAAAACAAGCTAATAAAAAGACCCAAACACTACATACATTCACTGCTCTGTAAATTGAGCAAGATAAGTTTAACGGCAAGATATGAAACAAGAAGTCACGGGAGTCTGAAGAGAACATGCATTTTTCTTCTAATTCAATTTGTCTAATGTAATTTAAGGTACGAAGATCATCTGAGCTCTCTGATGACGAGAAAACACCTTTCTTTCGCATAAAACCCCCAAGAACAGGAAAATTGTAATGCAGATCCAGTCTCAATGAAAAAAATTAATAGCCAGGCATCAGAGTACTCATATGATGACATAAAAACATCTCTCTTTAGACATACTTAATTCCACTCAACGTCCAAATGAGGCACAAATAAATCTGGCTAATGTAATATTTTAATTTAGACATAAATAAAAGCTGCAAAATGACAGCTCAAACACACGATTCATGATGCTTTTACTAAGGAAAATATTTATTTGCTGTGCAGAAAACAGGACAAATACAAGGCAGAGTGATTTCAGGAAGATCATTTTTAAGAGCCTGAAATTGTATCGTGATGCAAAGAATGTGTAACATAATTAAGACTGCAGTCATAAATCACTCATTACACCAAATACAGAGAAACACACCAAGCATGGACAGTGCATCTGAACGTATTGATCACATCAGGACAAAACCCATCTCCTTCAAAATGCTCTCGTTTACAGGATAAAAGGATCGCAGGCATGCTAAAAAGAATAAATAAGAGATGGATTCTACGGGGACACAGTGCAAGGGAGACCATCACATGCCCGGATGCAGATCGCTCAGGACTCAGGTTGTCACAACCGTTCATATCTGGGAAAGAGAACGCTAGAATTGCCAGCGAGCATCCTTTACTCACAGAAGAGCGCAGACGTGGGATTGGATGGTGGCCAGCCAGAGACAAAAAGGGCCATCTGTCCTTTAAAGACCTTAAACCAAATAAAAGAGGGCAACGTCATACGAGGGACTATGGGCCGGAGAGCATCCGTCCTTTTCATGTCATGTCCATATTGTCCCTCTTTTATTGCCCTCAATGACAAACATCTCCACTGATATCAATCACATTAATTCATATCTCTCCCAACATACTTCCTCCATATTACAATAGAGGATACTGCAAATATTTACATATTCAGACGTTTTTAAATGCTTTGGAAAATTGCCATCTTCATACTGTAAACACAGCCTATTAGCTTTTATTTTTATTTATTAATACAGTCCGGTTATATATTTTTTTATGAATCTTTGGATGCCCGAAGAGAACGTAGTTTTGAAAACTGACATGCTACATTGTGTGAATTCAATATATTACTACACATATTCTCAGTAGCATGGGGCAAATAGGCAAAAATAAAAAAGGAAAAAAATATTCAAATAAAAATTCAAAGCATATTAAAAATAATAATGAAAAGGTTGAAAAAAACAGTGTACTTGAAGTATCAAAATTTGATATACTGCTGTAATAGAATAAAAAAAAAACTTTTGTAAATTTTCGTGTTTATTTTTAAAAAAAGGACTTCTAAGTAAAACAATACTTAAAGTATATAGCATATCTATAAATACAGAGCCTATCGGCCCGCCACTGCAGGAGAGAGGAAGAGGAGACGTGGAGTAGGACCAGCCGGATCTCACGATGTCTCGTTGACGGTCCTCTCCAACTGTATGACTTTAGCGGTCTCGTTTGACCACTTATCGGACCTGCCAAAAGAAAACAGATTGTTTTACATCCACACCAAAAAGACGGTGCACTCGTATAACTATGAATGACATGCAGTAGAGTGCAACAGTTGGGTTCCCATTCATTTTCAATACATTGAACAATAACTTGTAAACATTCAAAGACAGAACTACTGTGAGCTACGAGGTTGATAATCGATGGTATTTGCTTCTGTGAAAAACCACATTACCCATGATGTTGAGTCAAAAAAGAGCAACACACCAAAATAACTCTTCAGCTCCGCCCACTCCCATGACGCACTGCGAATGATGTAATCGAGTCATTCTCAAAATACTTAAATGTTTGTATATGTATGCATATTTTCCAATAAACTTCAAATATATTGTTTTATATGTATATAATTGTTTTGCAATGCATCATGGGATTGTAGTTCTTTCAATCACTAAATCCATTAAGTGCACAGTCTCGATTTGTACTTTATTTTTTGCTTAAAATCTACGTTTGTAATTTTATGGTTTACCTCGTAGCTCGTTCGCTTTGTTCATGGCTTGTAACTCTTTAAAAAAGAATTCTTTTTTTAATCCCTATGGGATAAATGAAAGGAAAAAATCCTCCTGGAACCAGTGCCGCTTGACAGTTGTTGTCAAATGTCATTGGTTATTTCAAAAATTTTAATTTAACCAGCTTAAGAGAATTCGATGTTTCCCCATTCGAAGAGATACAAGCTGCCTGAGAGGCGTTTCAAAGATGGCCTGAGATTGAAATGAATTAGCCTTAAAGGGATTTTGCTCCACACTTTATAGCGCATCAAATCAAGCAGGCGTTAGAGGAAGTGCATTACCTGTGAGAATGCAGGTCTATGAGAATCGCCTTTTGCGTGTGCGTTTCATTGGTGCTGAGTAAAAGTGGGCGGGGCTCTGTTTCACGCCGGTCCGCCTGTTCTTGTTTGTGCTGCTGTTCTAAGCGCCAAGCCGCCATGACATCAGCCTGTTCAGGATATTCCCCGCCCAACCCGACAAGATGGGGGTCATCCAGACCCCCGTGCTCCTGAATGCTCAGCAGGTTCCGGGACTTCACTGTTGAAAGAACGAACGAGTTTGAAAGAACAATTGAGTTTGTGTTTACATTATATATGTGGGTGCACTGTGTATAATTATTTTGTATATATATATATATATATATATAAATACACACACAAGCATGTATATTTAAGAAAAAAATATTATTTGTATATAAAATATTTATACTTATATGTAATATAAATTGTATATAAATCTATATACACTATATATTTGAAAATATTTCTTAAATATATACAAGCATGTGTGTGTATTTATATATAGAAAATAATTATACACAGTGCAACCATATATGTAAACACAAACTTTTATTTTGGATGCGATTAATCGTGATTAATCGTTTGACAGCCCTACTTTTAAAATACCGATGTGTATTTACTATTAACTAGTAAATAGCATAAGAAATGAGTTCCCGTGCCGCTTGAACTGAGATTTGATTTGTCACATTTAGACATGCCAAAAACGGTATTGTTTGAATTTCGTAATAAAATGGGTTGAGCTGAGTTTTGAATTTTTTTCATATCAAAAGTAACCAGCTCTGTCTTGTCTGTCGGAGTCAGTGTCCTTCGCGATGTTTCTCTGCGTGAGGAAAATGGATGCGTGACGTGAGAGTCGCCCTGCTAATGTGTCTCGGCTGAGCATTTGTGATTGGTTCACCTGAGATGGATATTAATATCAAGGCCTGAAATCAAGAGAGCATCTCTTTCATTAGTTCTAGTCTTTAGTCAGTGGCGTTTTGTTGGAGCGGAGCATTAACTGAATAACATGCGTGGGAGAAACGTGAAGGACGGAGATCGGAGATCAGCGATGATGAACTGATCGCTCTGCTTTTAAAAGCATGATAATTACTGCCCCACTCAACCACTGATAATGACTCTCAGAAGCTCAAGAGTGAGGCGCAGCCGACTACAGCCTCTTAATATGGATCCAAATACAGCCATTCCTCTACTCATTAGTCAGCGAGAGACAGAGAATAATGAGCAAATTACAGGAGGGATTGCAATAGACACAAGCGGCTCATTAAATCGAAATTTTACACACAAAATAAACAGCCTCGGACAACTGATATGCATATCATTATACACTTTAAAAACTTGACATTTTCAAACATAAAGCACATTTTTAAAGATCATTATTGTAATTTAATATATTTTATTAATATATATACAAGTTTTTAACATCTGCTCTCATGTAATGGAAATCATTATGAACAGCAGCTATGCTAATTATTTCCTATTTGCTTTTCTGCTGTTATCTCAGGACACTTGTCCCAAGGAAAATGGCGTTCGTCAGCTCCAGTTTGTATCCAGCCTCAACGGAGACTTGATGCCCCAACACCTGCGATGAGACGACTCAACGCCGGCGATGTTATTCCCTAAATTATTACATGATCAACTAAATGTATTTTTCCATGTACATTTCTGAAATGCACTTTCTGTAAAGCTGCTTTGAAACAATATGTATTGTGAAAAGCGCTATACAAATACATTTGAATTGAAT